CAAAAAATGAGTGGAAGTGTATTCAGCAAAAAGTCCAGGGGTAGTATTCTCTAGTCACGAATATAGATTCGCATGCGAGATTTATGATTTGTCTCACTTGGTTTTCGTTCAACAAAGTGAGACACATTGTAAAACACGTATTGGTCCGGGAGGTAATGACAGATTTCAAGAGTTATTTAAATAGCATCTAACAGTAAAATCATCGTCTTCCATTCCAGTTGTACGACAGGGGGTTGCGAGAGGGTAGCATTTCAAGTAAAAAAATTATAAAAAAAATCATTTTCGCATGGATGAAACTTGGTGTACACGTTGATATGAACATAAAAATATTAGAAAATGTCGTCTTCCACCTGAATTGTACAACAAAGTACGTCTTCCATCCACATAAACAGTCGTAAAAAAATAATAAAAAAAAATTATAGTCGCAAAGGTGAAACCAAGTGTAATGCTGAAGAAAAATAAGAATAATAGTCTTCCACCAATAAAACACAACGAAGGTCGTTTTCCAAGCTGATAAAGGTGTTATCGACAGCAAGAACGTAGTATCTTTCGAAAAATGATCATTGGTGTAAAAACTATTACGAAGTTAATATTTATGTTATAAATTATTCATTCAATTACTATAACTGCACATTTTACCGTCAAAATCGAAATTTTAGTAAATATATGAAATACGATAAAATTCTGTTGTAGATTTAAAAGTATGCAAAACATTAATTATTTGCAATATAATTTAGAGATAAGTTCGAGTATTTATAATTTCTCTAGTCAAAGAAAGTAAATTTAAAAGCAAAAAATATATGTATTTTATTGGAATTTTTATAGATCTTCTTATCATTTTTTTTTTAACAAATTACCTAATAATAAAATTAAGACTAAAATAAAAACACCGGATACATATAAATATAACAAGAGAATAAAATTTAAATGTTTTTCAAATTTTAAGAGAAAAGGAACAAAATTCAAAAAGTATTAGGTACTACAATGACAGAGATAAACCTAGTTTAATTTAACACATACTCATATATCTTCTTTTAAATTTAATTTCATTAAAATACAAAAAATATACATCAAATATCAAATCATTCTTTGGCCATATAGGATATTATTAAAAAAAATTATTAATTAAAATTTTTTGCAAAATAACTACCTCTTTGAAGAAAAATATTAAAAATAGAACACAATGAAGAATTCATAAAATTCTTTAATAAATTTCAAAATAGACTGATCTTTCAAATTTTTAAAAACCAAATATATTGTACTTTTGTAGTACAAATGAAATGAAATAGCTTAGCACTAGTTCCAAATATTATTGGCTAGAATGGCAAATGATATTGAAAATTTAATTAATAACGGTCAAACAAGCTTAAAGAATAAATATGATCGAAATCCACCAGTAGTAAAATTTGATTTGACACCCACTGCAACAAAACCTTTTGAACACATACATTTAGATATATTTTACATTTCTAGTAAATCATATTTGACTATAATTGATTCTTTTTCGCGATATGGTCAGGCTTATTCCCTAGATTGTATAACAGGGATATCAGTCGTAGAAAAACTCTTTTTCACATTTCACATCTCGGACTACCACAAAAAATTACTACCGACAGTGGAACAGAATTAAAAAATTTCGATTTAGAAGATTTTTGTAAACTATACCATATCCAGCTATAGATCACTACTGCAAAAAAAATAATAATTCAAATTCCACAGTGAACGGTTTCATTCAAGTCTATTAGAACATTATAGATGTTTACAAGAAGAAAACAAACATTTCACACCAGATCGACTAATTAAAAAATCTGTATTTTGTTATAATAATATTCAGTGACAAAGTTCACGCCATTTGAAATAATTAAAGGACACATTGATAATCCAAATCCCTTTGATTTAGACGATCACTTAATAATTTCTAATTATGTACAAGATCATAAACAAATTAGTAAACAGATGTATAACAAAATTAAACAACGTAACGAAGAAGTAAAAGAAAATTTAATAAACAAATTAAATAAAAAGAGATCTAAACTAGATAACTATTCCAATCAAAATTCATGTTTTGTCAAAACAAAATCAAGCAGTAAAAAATTACTAAAATTTAAAAAGGTAAATTTCATTGAAGGTATTTTAATAAAAACGGATAAGAGAACTTATCATAAAAGTATTTTTAGAAGATCGAAAAATAATTTATAAAAATTGTTACAGGATACCAACGAAAATGAAATTCATTTTGATAACGACGCTGTTCCAAGTACAAGTTCTACAAGTCATTTATGTATACCAAATACATAGTACATCTTTTGATATACAGATCACTCCGATTGAAAATTTTATGCTTCCTATTAAGTTAGGAAACGCTAAACTTATATATTTCAAACATAAATTTTTACATTATTTAGATTTAGAAGAAGTAATTAAATAAGTTAATAATTTAGTTAATCATTTTGAATCGATAAAACATAGTACAGTTCATTTTAATGCAACTAATCCTATATCTTATCATAGCTTATCGCAAAATATGTTAACAAGAACTTAATATCTAATAATTACTCTTCAGAAAAAGATTTATAATTTAATTTCTCATGTAAGACATAAAAGAGCTCTAATAATAAATGCAATTGGAAAAATTAACAAATGGGTATTTGGGAATCTTGATTCTGATGACGAAGAAAGATATTAATACCATCAAAATATTACAAGTAAATCAAAAAAATATTATCAGTGAAACAAATCTTCAAATTTCGTTGTACAAAAGGCTTGTTAATTATTATAATAAAATTTAAAGTTGATATGTAAAAAATTCAAGCAGCTATTTATAATAGAATCGATATACTTGAAAGTTATATTAGTTTTCAGGCTATTATATCACAAATTGATTTAGATTGTCAAATGACAATTTAATTTATAGATAATTTATTAAATGCCATAACTTTTGCAAAATTTGCAAAAAACATTATAAAATATTTACATAAAATATATAATAATTTATTAACGTATTATCAGTTCTTAGGAACGCAAGTATCAATTTCAGAATCTAAGTTAATTTTTGCAATACATTTTCCTATTTTTAACAGCAATACCTTTGAATTTTATCATTTATTCCCAATTATCGAAAACCAAAAAATATATACACCTTTATTCCCCTATTTGGCACAAAAACATCAAGATATACAGTTTGAACGAGAAGAATGTCCATCCCTTGAAGAAATGTATTATTGTCTACAGAATTTCAACCCCAGAGATAATAATACTCACCAACTTCTTGAAAGAAAAACTTTGACAAATTGTAATACTTTAAATGTTAATTTAATTAGGGTTAATTAATCAAAATACCAAAATCTTGTGAAATTTGGACCAACGAAAGAAGATATATCAACAACATTCAATTGAGCAGGAAAGCCTTTCATTCTACCATGAAGAAAATTTCAAAACTTCAAAATCTTATCAATTTTCTTATACCGATACTAAATTAGATTTTAATGATTTATATGAAATTAATCAAATTTCTAAACAATTAAGGGTAATTAAAGAAATTCAAAATAATTTTAATTATTCAAGGACTTTTGGAACAATTTTTGCAATTTTTATTTGTATAATTATTTTAATACTAATTAAATATAGAAGACAACTTTTAAGAAGATATAGAAGGAAAAAAACGAAGAAATTGAATTAGAAAATCCCTCAGAAGATGTTTTGAAAAATAACTCCATATTTTTTAAAACTTAAGCAGGGAGGACTTATATATTGTGAACATAATTGACTCTTTTATGTCATAATTAAATTATCTTTGCTAAATAATCATTTTTAGTTTATAAATAGGAGTAAAACCTTATTCTTATTATTGTTATTTGAGGTAGCTTTAGTATAGGCATTAGTTCAGAGTTGTCTTAAATATCTATTTAAGTGTATTTTTGCTTAATAAAATTTTTTTAAATAAAAGTTCCGTTTTGGAATTTATAACTAGTACGTGCCGTATGTGACGCTCCCCTTTATCAGCTTGGAAGACGACCTTTGTTGTATTGTATCGATGGAAGACTATTATTTTTAGCTTTCTTATTATAAAAATAAGCATCACACTTAATTTCAGCTTTGCGAATATATTTTTTTTTTTTCATTTTTGTTTTGCTTATTTAGGTGGGTAGAAGACGTATTTTGTCGTGAAATTCAGGTAGAAGACGATATTTTCTAAATTTTATTTCTTTAAATTAACGTGTACAAAAAGTTTCATGCATGCGAAAATGATTTTTTTTTATAATTTTTTTACTGTAATTGCAACCCTCCTGCAACCCCCTGTCGTACGGGTGCGTCGGAATACGTTCATATTAGAGTTACATATTACTTGCAAAACTCATATAAAAAAATTAAACTTGCGAAAATGACCCGAAAATTTCTGTCGTTACCTCCCGGTCTATATGCGAATGTCGGTATTCGTGATTCGAGAATACTACCCCAGAGTTGATTTATCAATAAACACTAGCACTTTTGCAGAGATGTTTGCTATATAATTAGGAGGAAACAAGAGAGTTTATAAACCTTTCTTTTGCAAACAAAGCTATACAAATCTAATAGCAAGACAAATCTTAAAGCTCGATTTCAAATCGAGTAGATTTTAAGCTTAAAGAAAGAAGAAAACTTTCAAAGTAGTAATTGTTTCCTTCCAGAAAACAACTTGGTATGAGGTTTCTCGTCACAGAAAAACAATACTTGCTTTTGATGGCTTAGACTCGTAAATACTCGGGCGCCAGTTTCATTAATGTGGTTTTCTCCAGAATTCTTCGATGCTGGTTGCGAAGAATAGGAATCAAAACGACCTTTATCGTTAAATGAATTGGTAAAATTTTCTTGAAATTGTTCATTTTCTTCCATAATAATACTAATACAGTTAATCATTTCTGGAGGAAGATTTTTCAGAAATTTTAAATAAAACTTTAAATAAAATATAATAATTTTTATTTTTTAATAAATAAAGGTGCTCAGTCATTCAACAGTTCAGCCTAGGGCCTGTATTGGCCTTGTGCCTGGTGTTGCTCAGAATCATTCTCTTCAGGATGAGCAGCGTTGTACTCTAAAGATCTTTGAATTTCTGGTGGGATTGGTGGAGGGGTGTTAGTATCTACGGGAGCTACTGGAAGATGATCTCCTTTAGGTTGGAATCCAAATTCATTAGCGACATACTCCAAGAAGATTGGAATGCCTTCAGGTGATTGGTATTCTACTCTACCAACTACTTCTTCCGCTGCATTTTCAGCTCCAGCGTTTTTCAAATTTCCATGTTCTTCAGATCTGATACCGTTGCCGGTTTCGAAGGAAGAACTGTATTTTCCGTTAATGCTAGCTTCAGATTCTTGGCTTAGAATGGGGATGACTTTTTCGGGGAGGGTGCCTGCTAGTGTCACTGCTACCAACGCGGAAAGAAGAATCTGTAAATAAGAATTCATGAGATCGAGTAAAATTCTAATCAAATTTTATATCGTTATAGCAAATTACACTTATTTAGTAATCAGACATTAATAGTCAAAGGAAAATATTCCAAACTCAAATGTGACCTAGTTGAAAACAACCAAATATATGAGCGACCACTTTTTTACAAAAAAATAAATACTTCCTATGGCTACCCAGATAGCACAGGACGTCCTAAAAATGTCCATTTATCGTCTAGGAGAGGATCTTAATAGCAACATCTCTCTCGGAAAACCAATCAATGAAAAAATGGTAAAAATTTGGGAAAATATTTGCAAGACGGTTTGGAGAATGGCAAAATATCAAAGTTTCTTTGCGAAATGAAAATCTGGAATGCTTTCACTTGGGTTCCCCACCTTAAATTCCGAACCAAAAAGTTTAGTCACTAGTCACGTCATCAAATAAAACCGACAGCTATTTATATATGCTGCAAGACCAACTTGAAAGGTGATGGGAAGTTTAGCTAAACCTCTGTAAGCTAGGCTTGGAGGGAACAGAAATAGACGCATCAAAACAAATGCAAATGTAACAAAAGTATTATCAGACCTCTACCATAGAATATATGCATCGTAGGCACCTTATATATCCGTCTTTAGACACAAATGTGAAAAATATGATAGAAAAAGCAGATATCAATGGTTTTTCATTTTGGAAAGAATCTTGTAGAGATATGGAAGTCAGACAAAGCATTTGAAAAAACTAGCATACATTTAATTTAAAGGCACCATCTAAAAGCAAACAATAATTTCAATCAGTCTTTAAACTTCAGGCGTCTACTTTTAAATAGCGACTGAAGAAAACCAGGCCAAAGAAAGAGCAGGAGAAATACAAAACCCAAAGGACGAACCAACAAGTATTCAGAGAGAAGAAGTTATTAGGGAAGAAAATAAAGGTAAGAGAGATTGCTGGTAGACTGAATAAATTTGTAAAACATGTGGGCTAACTTAATTAATGATAAGACGGTCCTAAGATATGTTAAAGGTTTTAAATTAATTTTTAAAACACAAAAGAGCTTTCACCAAAGGATGTTTTCTCTTAGAGAAAAAACTAACCTATACACTTCAATTAAAAAACAAAAAAGTTGTACTAAAGAATGCAACAGGTGTTTGCTTGCTAAAGAAAATTAGTTTGGTTCTCATATTTTTTAAGACCCAAATGAAATGATTCATCTAGATTTATCTTTAAAAAATATATAGATTCTCGCATTTCAAACTAGAAGATCTCAGGTCTGCCCAGAATATTTTAGTACAGGACAATTTTGTCAAAAATTATATTAAAGGATGCCTCTTATCTCATCTCAATACATAAAAAATCAGGAAAGTACTTAAAAAAAAATAACTTACGAATTTGAGTGTCTTACATTTAGTTTGACCATTTGCTCCATATGTTTTTGCAAACACTTTAAAACCGGTAGTGCATCAACTAAGGCTTTTGGAAATAACCTTAATGATTTCCTAATTACATCTAAATCTAGTGATGAATGTCTCAAACATTGTAATACAACGGTTGATTCTTTACAATCTCTAGGACTCATCATAAAAAAAGTGTTTTTATCTAAAGTGTGCAAGAACTCGATTGTTACGTAGCTAATGCATTTCTTGTATAAGTACTAAAACTAGAATCACCAAGCAGAAGGCATAGTGATTGTACCAAAATGGGAAACTCAACCATCCCATGTTACAAAAAAAAATAAATGCTTTTTACGGTACATGTCAACATTGAACCTAGTTATTCACTGCAGCAAACCTTCATTTAGAACTCCTTATAACCAGAGTTCTGCCCTAGCTCTCATTATAAATAGTCCTTAACTTTCATTATAGAAATTCTGAATAATAAAAGAAAATATATATTAGGAAATTTTTAAAAGGGTCATCCTGTTTTGCCAAAATGTATTCAAACTTGAGACCAAAACACAGTTTTAAAATACTTCAGTAGATTCTTTCACTTGAAAAACTTAAAACAACTAAGAACCAAACTTGTTATACTTGCAGCCCAACGGGTATAGACTTTATCAAAAATTAAAGTTGAAAATGTCAAGGTGGAAGCTAACAATATACAAATTATCATTGACGAAATGCTAAAACTTCGACTCCACAACGAGCCCAGCCTTTATTAGTAGGTATTTTCATTCTCCCACGAATTGTCTCAATTTATGCTCGGCAAATAGGCAAATGGGGAAAAAGAAAAAAAATGTTACAGGTCTTCAGGATCTCTTATTCTAACCACTAACGCTCCAGTCCATCCAGTATCTCCCCAAACTATGGGGTGGGTAGCTCAAGGGGTGTTGGCCACTTGGTCGCCGCGGTTAGTTTTGTCAGCGGGGTTCCGTAATCTCATCGACCACTTGGTCTCCAGTTTTAAAATCAGGTAGGCCTCTTGGTCGCCGTAGTTATCAATCATTAAAGGTATCTATTTCGATTTATTGAAAATAATATTTTTAAGAAAAAAATAGTTTAACTGATTTTTATTATTTTCCACGTGAATAGAAATTTTTAACTGATATGATATGGTACAGAATGTGGGTCAGGAAAAGAATAAAACCAAATTAAAAAAACACTTATAATTAATAGAAAACAATATAAAATTATACATAATAAAAAAAAGTAGGTACAAAATACACAAAATACCAAATAAAAATTATTTAAGAAACCCAAATTGCAATTAGTTTTTGTAATGATAAGAAACTACTTTGATAAATTGAGTTCGTGAAAGGATCTTATTTTTATATTGTTCTATTACGTTCGTTAAATACGCATGCCGTTTTTTGTAATTAGCGTTTTTAATTTTGTTAGGTATATGTGTACTGTTTAATTTCACATAAGCATTTAACTGAATATCGAGAATTACATTAACAAATTTGAATATATCGGGATGCGCCGAATAAAAAGCAGAATTAAAATGTTTGTGGAAAGACTCACAAGCATTTGTTGTGCGTTCTGTGGAACTTGTGCACGATGCCCACATTGTAGGCGGGAAGTCAGACGTATCGCTAGTATACGTATTAATCATATAAAGAGTATATGAAGTTAATCTCTCGTCAAATGCCATTATTGGAATTAAATCTTTACAAAAACACTCTGCCACTTCAGTACTTTCCAAAAATAAAATGCCGAAAGTGTAATGAAGCCATTTGCCGATTTCAGAATTTTCATTTTTATATTCGGAAATCAAACCCAGATTTTGTATCTTACGTAACCACGATTGGGTTAAATGAAATCTACATCCAATAATTAAGATATCAGGCCAAATCTGTATAATACCATTGTGTATGGCTTTCTCAAAATCGCAAATAACTTTACACAGCTTCCAATCTAAATTTAAATTATTATAACAGTAATCTTTTAATAATTTAAATGCAGTTGCATAGGTACTTGCTCTTTTATCTGGTAAAACAAAAAATGCCAATGGTATGTAGTGTCCGTTATCAACAGCATGTATAGTGAAAAATTGTAAAAAAAATTTAGGGCAATAATTAAATGTGCCGTCGCAATAAATACTATCACGAGAACACAAGTATTTTAAATTTGAATCACATGAAAATAAAATAATTTGTGAATCTTCATTGTTAAATAATAAAAATTGTTCACCCTTATTTGTAACACATTGTATTGCTTTCAGTACACTATGAACATCACTGATACACTTTGGCAAAGGTGGCAATATACTTCTTCTTGCCCTGTATATGCTTCGTCTGATGAGGTCAACATCCGTAGTGGATACATTAAAAGTATTTCCTTCCCCTTGGATTCCGTTATTAATTAACTTACTGGGTTTAACGCAAATATCTTCTGTTGCCTTTCTTTTCAATCCGTTTTGAAGTTTTTTTACATCTAAATGGTCCGATGGTGGATGATTGTGTTCACTCTTAGATTTCAATAAGACAGTTTCCGAATCGTCCACTCCAATAGTCGCTTTACACCCACGACGAGTACACTTATATGATACACCTAACTTTGTTTCCTTGTCTTTTCCAAATGTATATTTTTTTACAATTAACAACTTTTTTCCTTTTACACTTAACATCGACTCCATTGCAACACAAACTCAAAACTTCTTTTATGGAATAATGAATAAGATGAGAATCACTTTTAAAATAAAAAAATTAATCTTTTCAGTAAGAATGCAGACAATTAACTGATGAAAAATATTTTTATTTTAGTTCTCGACAGGTCACAAACCGATATTATAATTAGAGTAATTAAATAACCCCATAATTTTCTTGGAACCCTTAATCCAGGTTTGGAGACCAAGTGGCCTATACCTTTCGAATAGCGAAAGGATTAAATTTGGGTAAAACTGACCGCGGCGACCATGAGGTATATTCCCAGCTCAAGCACCTTAGTTCACATACGCATATACCTCGACCGTCCTTATAATCTACGTCGATATCTAAACCATTAGAAAAATTGTAAGACAAAGAAATCAGTAGTGTTTAACAAGTTCCAACGTTCGCAAAAGTATTAAAAAATTATAAAACTGGATTGTTAAAATTCAATATTATTTTTTGTTACGTTGTTTAATGATTAATTCATTAGTATTATTATTGTTAATTTTGTGGGTAATTTATAGTAATATTTTTTTTGTATATTCTATTGTATACATTTAGATAGAAAGCAAAAATTTGTTTTATTTTGAATAGAACATCCTCTAAACAACTACATGATTATCTTTATTTCCACTAACAAGGATGTGAAGCATAATTAATGGATCAAACAACTTACCTGAAGGAAGTTCGATCCTAATTATGTGAGCATCCTTGTTAGTGGAAATATAAAGTTCCACCTCCACCATATTTATATTATGTTTAACCCCAAACTCCTAGGCTCCACAACAGGTAATTACTAATTTAGACAGGCAGCGAGAGAGAGTAACATAAAATTTTAAATCTGAACATGTGGGTCAGCGGCGTAACATAGGTATACTAAATCATCGGGACGTCAAGAAATGGATATTTGTAGAACGTCAATTCTACGTGCTTTATTATATTTCCATGTATTCACATTTGCATTGTATTATTATTTGGTTGAGATAATATAAATAATTATTAAAGATGGCATTGTCTCAATATTTAATTGAATGAAGGCCAAATAGACAAAAAACGAAGAAGGTCATTGCAAGAAAGGGACATTTTATTATTTTTTATTATTATTTATTTAGATTCAAGCACTAAAATATTCTCAGGGTTCAGGATTTATTAAAAAAAAAAATGAAAAAACATGGTGCTTAATGTTTATGATAGGTATACATATTATACGAGTACAAGTTCTATCATTCCGCCATTTGACTATGATTCGACCCTGTGAGTTTGTGGTTGATTAATATTAATATTAATTTTTTGCAGTTTGTACTATTTTTATCTCTGAGAAAGGTGGAAGTTTTCAAGTGAATATTACAAAGCTAAAAGGTTAGTGAATTCTTAATGTCTAGCAGTGTAAGCTTAAACAAACAGATTTGATTTTCATATTGATCTGCCTTTCATTTAGAATAAGTGATTAAATTATTTTCAGGTTCAGCTGAGAAGGCAAAAATAGCCAAATCAAGCAAACAAACTGAACTGCTGTCAATTCAGGCATGGTTGAAAAGGGCAAAGTAGAGGAGAGACGGGATGAATTTGTCGAAAAAGTTTTAATAATTTTATTACTCATAGGTTATTTGCTTCCAAATAAAAAAAAAATTAAAATTATTCGTTATTTTCACTAATTTCCTTAAACATCCTATTATTTCCCATTTGAGCTTTTAAAAATGTTCATGGAATGTTCTTTAATGAACGTTCTTAAGACATCCTGATTATTAACAATGGACGTTCCAAAGACGTCCATAGGACCACGTCCGTGAAATGGACATTGTAAGGATGTCCTGAATTTTTAGAACATCCATAAGACGTATTTGTGCTATCTGGGTAATACGCCAATAGGCATTGAATTATATCTATAAGAAGATAGCAGAAACAGAATAGTAGTTTTTGCAGAAAGAGTGATGGATATGATGGCCATATCGTACTAAGACGAAGTTTGAGTCCGACTCTGTAGGCACTACAGTTTCACACGTCGCGTGGAATTGGTTAGTTTCTTCACTTGTTGCATAATATTATAAATCCTATAAAATGTGAGTTTAATGTTAAAATTGACCGAAAACTTTCTCATGACCAAACCTTTTCTTGTTAAAAAATGAAAAATATTTAATGTGTGTGGCTCAGTGGCCATTTAAACACGAAAAGAATTCGAATCCAACCTAAGCCAGGATTTTTTTTATTTAATTTAATTACAGTGCATTCGCGTATTTGTGACAGCCGCGTAATTGTGGCACTTTCTTTTCATTTAAATTTCCCGCGTGCTAAGAGCGGTACGCATGTAGCACTCGTTTTTCAGCGTCCCCCATTACACAGATGAGATTTCATGTTGCCGCTGCTCTGCCGGTTCGTTCCATAGATATATAACCAAGATAAGTAGTTTAAAATGTCGTTTTAAAACGTAATTCATGATAATTTCATAACAAATTGTGTAACTTGCATGTCTAGGAAGTTAGAATTTGGATTCAATGTGCATTTACTGATGTTTTAGTAGTATACCAAATCAAGGGCGGCTCCAGGGGGGGAAGCATGGGGGCCATGTCTCCCCCCCCCGGGAAGAAATTTCTTACGATTTATGAGCCTTTTAATAAAAAAAAACATGCTAAAAAAGGAATATCTAAAGGAAATGCCCCCCCCCCCCTCCCCGAAAATTCGCCTTGGAGTCATATTTGAAGGCAAATAACGGGGTGTCACATTTAACCGAAAAAATGGTTCACTGGTTTTAAATGTGACAAAATTGAAGGTTTATTTGTGATTAGAATAAAAATCTTAATTTTTATCTTTTCGATTAGTGTACTGTAGGTACCTCATTATACAATCAGGATACAGTACATACACATTATAGTTACACACTAACGAAATATCATTATTTAAAAAAAAGCATCCATAAAAACTTGAACATTTTTTTTATAGATCGCAATCAAAATACCAAAGAATAAGGAAAAAAAGGTGAAATCCTACACACCAGAAGATCTAGCAAAACCAATACAAAGTATTAGAGAAAATATCTATTCTGTTAAAAATGCAGCGGAAGTTTTTCGCTCTCCCCGATCTACACTAATTTCTCGTACCAAAGGTTGGAAAAATAGAAAACAATCAACAAAAGAAATCCCTGGTCGTTCTGTAGACTTGAGCCCCGAAGTAGAAGAAAAGTTGGCATTATATTTAAAGACACTAAGTAAATGGGGTTTCGGTCTTTCCCGGAAAGAGATACTGGTACTTGTTGGAAGATATGTGAAAGAAAATAATGTGCAAACTCGTTTTAAAAACAAATGGCCTTAGTAGTCGACGCCGATGACACCAAATTAAAAAAAAATACCTGGAAAGGACTGGTTTTTGGGTTTTAGAAAGCGACATGGTCTTTCTTGTAAAAAACCTATAAAAAGACCAATTATTAGAACAGAACAGACGATGCAGGAAATAATTTATGGATTTTACGATTTGTATGAGTCTACATTGAAAGAACTGAGATTACTTGATGCTTCCATTTATCTTGTATAATGCGAACCACCTATGGGATATTTAGATGCCTGAGAAAGCTTATCCAAACACTGGATATGCTGCTACCCCACGCGGATCAATGACGGAAATAGCATATTTTTAACTGGTTTAAAAACCACTTTTTAAAGCATTGCCCAAAAGAACGGCCTCTTCTTGTTATTTTCGATGGTCATTCATCGCACTCATCTTTGGATCTAATAGAATTAGCTATTAAGGAAAACATTTGTCTTCTCAAACTACCTCCGCACACGACGCATATTCTGCAATCGTTGGATTCGTTCGCGTTTGGTGTTTTTAAAAAATCATGGGATGAAGAGTTAACTGTATGGTAGCGACAACACTACGGACGTCCCCTAACCAAAGCAGACTTCTGCATTTTAGTAGGAAAAATTTGGACATAATTTCCACAGAAATTATTGAAAAAATTATTTCAGTTGTCTGGCTTATTTAATCATAACAATCCAGATAACTCTGTAGATAGAACTGTTGTTAAAGAATCAATCTTCAGACCAAATGATCTTCAAGAAAATTTCATAAAACAAATTACAAACAATGCTCAAGAGGAAGCTTTACCAGTTCGTGATATTGAAGTTGAAGGGGAAAGAGACTTAGAGTCAAGAATGGACTCTGAAGACGATATGGAACCGGTTCCTTCTAATAGTAAAAGCCCAATTCCTTATACTAGTAAAGGCCCAATTACCTCTTTTGAATCTCTGCTAATAGAACAGATTGCAACAGAAAATAAAGACGTGAAGAAACGCAAAAAAATTAACAACAATACCGCCGAGATACTAGAGAAGATTATTTATTACAGTTGAAGAAGCGTTGAAAAGAAAAATGTTACAAAAAAGAAAATTGTTGAACAAGATTAAGAGAGCGAAATAGAAACTGAAGTTGAATAAATATAACACGAAATAACAAGCAGTAGCGACACCGATGAAATTCTAACTTTCAAACATTTAGTAGAAAATAAACAAGAGGAGTTAAATTATGAAAAGGAACTGGAAAACCCTAATGACGTAAAGGAGGGTAGCTGGGCCCTAGTTTATTATAAAACAACCAAAATTACGAAAAGGTATGTTGGACTTATATTGGAAGTTTCTGCAGAAGAAGATAAGCTATTGGTTTTTACAAAAAGAAGAGAAATAATGTTTGGCCAATTTCTGAAGATCTTTTCAGTGAAGTATGATGGCCTTAATGTTTATTAACTTTTTTTATTATTTTGTCCTTTTTATTACATTAGTTTTGTGTACTTGGGTATAAATATTTTATTTCCTATTTATAGAGCATATACTTATTTTGTTATAAAACAGATGTTTTTTAGTTTTATGTACATACTCTTATACATAGGCATTATTATTTTGTTCCTTATTTGTAGTGAAAATACTTATTTTGTTATAAGACACAGATTTTTTTAGTTTTATGCACAAATTAGTGCTAATTTTTTTACAAAACATTAAAGTTTTCTTTTCAAATATTTTTTAATCCCACTAGACCATTAAAATAAGTCGCAATTAAAACTACCAAGCTTTATAGATATAAATGTTAATTTTGGTGGTGCGTCATAATTAAAATCAAAAAGTGTCACAAATAGAATTTTTGTAGGGTAATTGTGACACCTGACATTGTTTAAAAAAAAAAACAAATTCCAAAAAATGTATACATATTTTTCAATGGAAGCATTATGTGTATTGAATAGGTAAGTAAGATGATTGGTTAGACGCAGAAATTTAGGCCGTTTTATTACTTTTAACAAATTTACAAGTTTTTTTTTGAAAAAAGAAGAAATTTATGACACAAATACCCGAATGCACTGTAACTAAAATTAATTTTAATTCGCAAGTAGGTTTCCCCCACTCAACTATACACTGTTATAATTCTAATGAACCATTGACATTAACAAAAAAATTAATTAGATTTATTAAAATTATATTTTGAGAAAAAGGATGTTATAGTAATAGTAATTTATTTATATAAAACAATAAATACATACTTACTAAAACTTGTGGTACAACATTAAATGTGAACAAAAGAGGCATAAAAGCCTGCGTGCAAGTATGCTTTTTTATAATAAAATGTAATATAATTTAAACAAAACAATTTAATAACAAACTTAAGAAATTTCTTTTCTGATTTTCCTATTTTTATTTTCGCCTTTTTTTAATACCTATAAAAGTATAATGCAAGAATCCCAAGAATGACTAATGCGAACAAGATTGGAAAACGAAAAACAGAAGAGATAATTAAAAAAAAATAAAGATACTGAAAATGATGCACATACTAAATAGGGCGAGGAAGAAAAAAATTACGCACTGAAGTAGGTAGGTACTTGTTTCTTTTTTACTTGCCTTATTAAAGAAATATGTATTGTATACATATTTAAAGCGAATGAAAGGAATAGGCTAAAGGATCAGTTAAAAAAAATTGGAAGAAGACGTTTTTAAAAAATAAAACGGGAAGCTAATTGTTTTAAATGTCATCTACATTATTAATCAATAATGAAATATTCCATTTTATTATAAGGATAATATATTTTTATAGAAAACTAATCATATCTATTTTACTTATGAATAATTAAGAAATGTCTGAATTAAAACAACTTATGGAGGAGCGTCTTAGGCATTTAGAGAGAATTATTGACAGTTCATTAAATTGTGTTTAAATTGTAAATAAAACCAAAAGCTAATAAAAAGTGTACCTAGGTACCTATTTTAAAAAATTCAAAAATAAATAATATTTTGTAAAGAGAAATCGGTCTATACCTATGTTTTGTAAAAATCGAAAGAATAAAATAAAAACTCTTTTAATTAAATGTTTAAAAAAATGTTTAGAAAAATATCACCAGCACCAAATAATGGCCTTAAACATCTGAACAATAATTATAAAATTACACTAACAGTTTATATTCAAATACAATCTGTTTGATGATGCAATTATTGATTTTGCTCTTTCTTTTATAAAAATATTAGTTCGATAAACGAAAATACATTATTTTTACTTACAATGGACTTCATCTTGCTGCTGCACTCCTCAGTGACGTCTGGTAAACTTTTTTATTTGGCATCAAATTTATACAGATCTTGATGATGACACAAATTTGTGTTCATTCACATTTAAAGTTAGGCAAACTTTTTTGGGAGAGGCTGAGAAACAAGGTCGTCGTTCGAGAATCGCAATTGGCACCCTATGCCTTAGATAACAAGAGTTATGAGTATTTCAAATCATTATTGTTTTGACTATTAGGTTTTAGTTGTAAAAAAAGAAATAATTCATTCTTAAGTGAATTATATGGATGACATAAAAAAAAAATTTTTTTCAGATATGTACCGTTAACAAAATATTTTTTTTCTACACAAACATGGATATTAGCTTATCTACGCACAGACCACAAAACGAAAAAATATGCTATTGTCGTTTAACTGAACAAATATATTTCATATCCATTCTTGGTAGTGAGAAAACTGCAAAAAAATATTTTCGTTACCCAACTACTATTCTTTTTAAAATTTTAAATAAGTGACAATTCTGTCAAACTGTCAGTATATTTTTTTAATTATTCAGATTAAATATACATTAAAATGAGTTATTTTTGTGTAGAATCGATAAATAATAGCATATCTATTTTTACTTCGTCCACTTTTGAAATAAATTTTAAATTTTAATCAAACTATATGAAACTAATTATTTAATTACGAGTATTAAAACTAAAATCTTAAATGTAGCGATGGAGATAAGAACACGACGTCTGTCTTTCCCGCAAGAGGCCCGGGTTCAAATCTGGGCAAGGGAATAATAAATTAAATCTTTTTTATGTTTATTATATTTTATAAATTAGTAAAAGTCATAAATTATTTTAAAATTATTAATTTTGTTTTAATAACCTAAAATAATTTTTTGAAAATGTAGATTTTCTTTAGTAGGTCATATAAAAAATATATTGTATAACTCAGGTGGATTGTCCATATCCACTCTTGTTGCACAAACTACTATTAAGAGAATGGTCTCTGGAAGAACCCTAAGGTTAAGTGGAGATAACTCATAGGTTCCGCGAAACTTACATTCTTTTTTTTATAACATTCAAGGAAGTAACTTCAAAAAGCAATAAAAAATAACGTTAATTTTGTTAATTTAAAGACTATCCATTGTCTTCATTAAGAATCCTCATTTTTAATTATATTTCACTAAGAACTAAAAAATATACTGATAATAAATTAGTTTTACTAATTTAAAATTTTTTAAAATAATATTTAGATGGGTGCTAAACGTGAGCTGTAAAATTATATACATTTTAGCATGGGTATACATTCAATTGTGATTTATATATAAAATAGATAATACCTATACAGTAAAAGTGGGTGTAGAATTAGCAATAAATGATGCACTTTCTTTTTAACGTGTGTTTTTTCCTAAACGGTAAATCGTCACAATTGTTGTTATTGGTCCGATTCAAATCCCAGAATATTTCATGGATTGCATAGGCAACATCTGGAAAAACTGAAATTTTTGGTAACCGTCGTATAATTGACCCCTTTTTTTATCCAGCATTACTAGAGTTGATTGAGAATGACGATCAGTTCATAACAAACAATATTCCAGAAACGACCCCATTTTGCACTGACTGTTCGGCAGTATTTGGATCAAAAGTTTCCAGGTCAATGGATCGAAAGAAGAAGAAGTATTGAGTGGCCCCCACGGTCTCCGGTCTAACACCTATTTAGATTTTTTATGAGGCCACTTGAAAACTAAAATGTATGCCACCCAGCCAACATTACTTGAAAATCTGCGACAACGGATAATTGATTAATGTCATCAAATCACCTCACAGATGCTTCAAAATGCCCGAGAGTGTTTTGAACAAAACCTATATTCCATGGTGGCCCAGGGTCAGCAATTCCAGCATTTATTGGAGTGACTGGTATGCATCTAAAGAAAATAAAAATCGTTAAAAGAGCATGGCTAGGAAGACAGTAGGGTTTCCGTTCAGGGGATGAAACTAATAAAAAAATTGTTACTCTTAAGGTACTCGTTCGATAGTCACTGCAGAGACATGCTGCAGCTGCAGGCGGCCGAGGCAAGAGGCAAGCGACCGAGGCAGGGCAGGAGACACCTAGAGGGCTCGTTCGTAGCATGCCACGCATGCGACAGAATGACAGATCAGTACTTCTTTTGCTGTTGCAAAAGGTGCATGTAGAATGTCTGCTAAGAATAGAATTATCAAACAAATTTTATAAGAGGAAGATCAGGGTTTAATATTGTACTATTTATATAAAAAAGATAAAAAAGACTAGGAACATTGTTACGGTGTTAGTTTTTCGATGCCAGTCATTTCAGATTTATCTTTGTAGAAGGATTTAAAATTTAATTATTTTGTATGTCATGTACCATGTCTATATGTTTATTATTATTCATAATTAAATTGTAAGACAGATGAATTGACAAAAGTTACTTTATAATTATAACATGCATTATGATTTGGCTTTATAAATAATTTAAAAAAAAAATAGATACCTGTTCTTTTTAATATTGCTCCTATTTCTTTACAAATACTTTCCTGCTTTACAATATCTATGTAACTTTCTAGTTGAAGGACGTATAAAGTTGGGTTTTGCTCAACTAAATCTATAAGTAGATCATCTTCTTCCCCTCAAAATACTGACGACGATGGCGTATTTTTTACTGTTTTATCCAAGGAAGCCATCGCTTGATAATAGCAGAATTGGAAAATATGAATTGGGAAAAAATGTACTTACTATAAAAATTTTATAGTAGAACCGTTATATCAATATATTTTTAGTAATGGTTCTGAGTCACTTATATTCTATTACAAGAATATAGTTTATTAACAGTTACTTATTGCTTACTGTCCATTTTAATCAAAACATAATAAACACAAAGCAACAGACAATAAATTGCAACTGGAACTCGGAAAACGGATAACCATTAATTTTATTTCGGTAATTCCCCTAATTTCCCTGTAGTGTCAAACCAAGATATTTTGTTAAAACTTAAAACTGCTTACTGATAGATAGCAAGCAGTACACGCACGGACAAAATTCTACAAAGCAGGGAGGCCACACTGACTGACATGATGAAAATAGTCTCAGCTTGAAGAAAAGCGAAATAATGATGAGTACCATCGGCTCGTTAATATAATGAACGTACAATTTTCAATTATTGATTCAGAAGACTCATCACCCCCAAGAAAAAGAAAACCCAGCAAAGTGTTAGAAAATTTTGTACTTACCGAGCCTATGAGATCTACAGTCGTTATCGAAGCAGATTTCGAATAAATATTTTTTGAAGTTCTTGACATAATATTAGTAGAGCTAAGACGTAGATTTAACGACAACAATGATTTAATTGAAGCTATTATGTCAAGAAAAAAATTAGATTCTGAAAAATATTAACCACTGGCCGAACTGGGCATTCAATTAACAAGTCGTCAAGAAATATATAAATCGACAGAAAAACGAGAATGCTGCAGAGAATCCCGATATTTTTCAGTGTATTTTTAGGCAAAACACTGCTTTTAAGGAAACTTATGAATTTCTAGCGACTTTCTAGGCGTACTTTCGCCTGTAGTACGGCTCTTTGTGAATCCAGTTTTTCTGCCCTTACTAGAATTGATAGACCTCAGCCACCTCAGCGGAGGTCAATGTTACATCCGAGACTGGCAAACATTACCCATTTAGCATTTGAAAAAGAGAACAAAAAATATAAATATTGAAAATCTGCTGGTTGAGTTTAATAATTTAAAAAATAGGAAACTGCAATTATTCTGCAAATTGATAAAAAAAAATATTTTTTTAACTCTTTTGCATATTTGATGCCGCTTTTACTAACTCAACCATCAACCAGTTAAATGTTCATTGGAAAAGACGATTTATATTTTTTTGTTGTAGAGTTCATTCTTTTGCTTAAAATATTTTTTATTGAATAAATATGTGTTTTGTAATTGCTCGTTTTTTTAATACCCTCCTCGAAGGAAGGAATTCAAAACAAAACTCCTCATATTTTTTTGGAATTTTTACACTCTAATAAAAAAAATGAAGCCCCCCCAAGATTTTGTTTAGCCCCCTCTGAAACATGGGGCTAGCTACGGCCCTGTCAGTATTTGTAATCGAATATTTTTAGAAAGACACTTATTTTAATATTGTTAAATTACCAGGTTCAAGAAGAAAATCTGCTTTTACTCTTAATACTACAAAATGAGAAAGCAGGAAGAAAGAATTGCCTATGTTTAAAAATAGACAAAAAGAAGGATTTAACAATTTTAATAAAAAGTCATCTCAAAGATAATGAAACGAAATTAAAGAATTTTTTCGTATTTCACGATATCATTTTAATTATATACTGAATCTGATAAAGAACGATGTTCTAATTAACAAAAACCAACTAATTCGCTACGAATTGGGATGTTTCTCTGCTCTCGAAGCAAACAAACGACTGACGACCAACGACCAGCGAACAGTCGTCGGTAGCAGCTACTTAGTAACTTGTAGGAGAACAGTCTAATTAAATTCCATCGGTAATACCTTGGCGACTTGGTAGCAGCTACCCGGTAGCTGGTAGCCGCTACCGGGTAGCTGCTACCAGCGACCAGCGAATTTGTAGGAGAACGTACCATTAGTAAGCTAGTTGCTGCTGCAGCGTGCATCGAACGGTGTATCATTAGATTTCATTAGAGCAGTAGCAGTGTTACCAGATCTCCTGTTTTAACAGGAGATCTCCTGTTTTCGCTTTCAATCTCCTGTTCTACTGTTTTGACTATGACATCTACTGTTTTTAGCCTCGATGTCTATTTTACTTTTTTTTCTAGAAAATCTTCCATTGGTTTCAGTAATTTTCACTAGAATATTTTAATACGACACTGTGTTTAGACGACGATTGTCGATTTCTATTGTTAGTACTACGAAATTTGCATTTTTTTGTTTGTTTACATGAATACGAGCCCCTTCCCATTCCAGTTGGCCCACCAATTGATATTTAGGAAATTCGCATTTAACTTTTCAATTTTTATTCGTAGAACAATATGTTTAATATCGTTTAATCACAAAAAATACGTAGAAAACATTAAAACCTTTATTCAATATAAAATAAAGAAAAATTAAACAAATAGTTGGAATTAAATAATAATCAATTGTAAAGTTTACCATTAAGTAACATTGCCTTTATTTTTATTACAGCAGAAATTCTTTGTGGCATGGTATTAACTTGGCAAAATTCTGGTGTGAACAAATCCCATATATCTTGAAGTTGTTGTTTAAGTTGAGGTATTGTTTTTGCAGGATGTTTTTGAAGTACCTTTTTGATCTCATGTCACAACATTTCTATTGGTGATAAATCAGAACTACTAGAAACCCATTCCAAAAGTGGGAAACCGAAGTCTTCCATTAATTTTAGGGCTTTTTTAGACGTGTAACATCCTGCTCCATCCTGTTGAAATACAAAATCTTTCCATGATGTCAAGTATAATTCCATAGTCGGTAAAAGTGATTCCACCAAAATTTTATACCTACATATGTGAGAATTAAAATTTTGTTTAACCTACTAACCGACTAGAAGGCTAAATCACGTGACGTTCCCATGTAATTGAAAACTGTTAATTGAACTTCCTAGAGATATATTTGTAATTTCTTATGCTTGTACTGTGTTCCTCTATTAAAAAATAGATTTATTAAAATCTCCTGTTGAAAAAAGCAATCTCCTGTTTTTTGACTATATTCCTACTGTTGACAGAAATTTCCATCTGGCAACACTGAGCAGTAGTGTCTCTGCCTCTTGCCCGGGCCGCCTGCAGCTGCAGCATGTCTCTGCAGCAACTATCGAACGAGTACCTTTAAAATCAAAAACTGACGGGTCCGAGCGTTTTTTGTAAATGACCTAGGGTGCTCAAAATTGGCTGTTTCGTTTTCAAATAGTCACTCTGTATATAGTATAGTATATTCGTACATTATACATTCATCAATACCTATACATATATAAATGTAGAATTAGTAATATATAATATATAATAAGTAATATGTAATATAATATACAGGGTGGGCCACCGGTAACGTCTCGCTCTGTAGAGACAAAACTATTTGTTCTTCTAAAATCTGTTTTCACTGCGAGATGTATATCAAAAAAGGCAACAATTTAAAAATTATTTTTATTATACAGGATTTTCTAAGAAAGTGATATATATCAAAGTTAGATTTTTTATATTTAAAATGCCTTTGCTTTTCCCATTATAACAATACAAAATAGTATGAGATTATACATGGTATTGTCCACTCTATAAGCAGTTTTATATGACAAACATATTGATTTCAATGACCTGTTGACTGCAAAAGAAACGATTGAAAACCAATGTTTTTGTTTTAAAAGGTTTTGGATATTAGTTGAGTCAAAACTCAAATACATCATTTTCTAATTTTTTTTTATATAGCCGTTTAAAAGTACCTATCGTAATTAAAGTTTCATTTGAGTTAAGAATTTCCTATACCGAAAGTTAATAATTTTGGGTGATTTTTAAATTTTAATGAGAAAAAATATAATTCGCAAAATACTTTAATTTAACTAGTTACTGCTTAATATATAGTTGACTGTTTGATTAGGACTTTAATATTAACTTAAAAATAAATACTAATAGCAACCAATCATATAGACTCACTTTATTCTAAGTTTATTATATTTTTAA